GCCCAGTGGTGTGCAACTCTGGCCAGCACTGAACATCATGGTGAGGAGCACATCCCCCACCAGGCTATCTCTGTCACTGGCATTCCCTGTTGCACACACTCAGGCCCCACACGTACATAGCATGGGAGGGAAGGCCCACACACCGGAGCTGGCTGCCTTTCCAGGACAGGGCAAGGAATGCAGCTGGCTCCAGCGCATGGGACTTCCCTCCTGTGCCCTGTGAGTGCGGGGGCTGCATGTGAATGGTAGGGGAGTGCCAGCAATAGAGATGGCCATGATGTGCAGTGCTGGCCAGAGCCAAGTGCCCTGAGCACCCCTGCGTGGTGCTGTGCAGTGCGGGGAATGTTGTGGGGGGGGTGTTCCCTCCATCCCCCCTCACCCTACAAATGCCACACCCACATCCTGCCCCCCTCAAACAGCCACACCCCACCATAAACACACTCCCCTAATGGCACCCCCTACAATATGACTAAGAATTTATTTTTGAGTTATAATGCAATCGCCTTTATATACACTACACAAGCACAAATATGATAAAAATGCTTTTTGTAATAAAATTAAAATAAGTTATAGTAGGTGTTTGACTTTTAGTGTATGATTTGTTCTTTTTCTGGTTCTAAGATGGCAACCCTCCCTCCCAAAAGGAGTATTTCTGAAGGACAAGGGAAGAGACTTAGGGTGGCAAAGGTCAGGAGTGGGACTTCTGGTCCCAAAATGATGACCAAGGGGTGGGGCTACCCATGTGGCCCTCGAAAGCTCACCAAACCTCGTTAAGCAGCCCTCCACCCAAAATAATTGCCCACCCCAGTTCTATACCATAATAAAAAGAAATAAAGGCATTTTAAATGGTGAAGTTAGTGTTCCATGTTCTTTCTCAGATGATGTGACTTCATATAATTTCACTGATGTCACCAGATGAGATTCTGCCCCTACTTTTAAAAAAAACAAAAACCTGAAGCTTCAGCTCTGTGCTGAAGTATATACAAGCCCCCTGAATTATTTGGGTTGTATATATTATAGCTTGTATTCATGGAGCCTTATTCTAAAATATCTTATGTAAGTGTGATGATGTAATACGATGGATTTCCGTAGTTACGCTTTATTTGATGAGTGATACTGAAATCAAGGCTTTGCCTCCTGTCAAGCATGATACCTACCGTCTATCTGGTTCTCCTTCGTGCACCTTTTGTGCTTTCCTGTCAGTCATTATTTAATTTACCTTTGCTTCTTAGCTTTGTAAAAGTCCTGAGAGAGTGCTTTCTTGCTGGAGATCTTTAGAAGGTAACTGCCAGCCTGTTGTTATATTACAACTGCTTAGCTGTATGCGTAAAAATGCCTTTTCTTCTGCAGGCCTGACCCTGCACCCTGGCAGCCAGTTGGAGCTTTGCCATGGACTTCAATGGGAGAAACATCAAACCCTAACAGCAGATTATTTACCAAGAACTTTGTTATTTTTAAAAAATAACTAATACTTGTTTCAGCATGTGCATATATTTTCTGGAGAAACTTGTGCAGCATATGCAAAGCATGCAAACAATGCTTTCTTTGGCTAATTCACTAAACCTTGCCCTGAGAATGAATTGAAGAGATGTTCTTCTCCATGTAAACTGATAAGGAAATATTCCTGGAAGTAACATGCACCTATTGTGAATGAAGACAGGAGAAGTGTTCAATTCAGAACAAAATGCTAGAAAATTGTACAATGGTGTCAAGCCGACAAGTGCACTTGAAGGAAAGAAGTCTTCTAGTATGTGCCAGTATTGGGGACCTAGATATTTTATGTGACTAGTTTTCCAACCCTGTCATTTATTCCTTGCATTTTAATTAAGAAGATGCAATATAAAAACAAAGTATAACAGAACCTGAAAACTCCTGAAAAGCACTAATTAATGTTTACAAATATGATTATTATGCACTGTATGAAACAATCAGTGCCAGCCAGGCAGAGAGGTTTATTTTAGTGGTTGGAGTATAGGATTAGGAATCAGAAACTCAGGGTGTTTCTCTCTGATAATGAGAACTCTGCCTGATTTTTCCCAGCTGTAAAATTAAGCTAATGTAAGTAATTCCCACGTCTCAGGAACATTCTCATTGTATAGTGGTACTAATGTTAAGTACTTCTGTTTTCGTATGGAACATAGCCAGTCAAATGACTGAAATAGGTTAACAAACTACATAATACATGGTAACTCTGTGTACTGGTAGTAATAACTTCTTACAGCCAGCTTATCAAAAATTCCACATATTATTAGAACTAATATTCAGGTCTATCAGATTCATATTTGTGTCAGGGCTGTCATTTATTATAGTTTACATAGAGCTTTCCCTAATGGGATACTGGTGTGGTTGGCCAAGTGCTATCACAATATAAGCTTTAAATATTCATCATAGGGGAAATGAGCTGCATATTGTGCAGTTAAAGGGAAGAGGAGATTTCATGAGTGTCCTTTTAACCACCAGAAAGCAACATGGTTAAGGTGACAATTCAAATATTCCCCTTAAAAATGAAGAACAAAGGCAGACGAGGATTGCTGGAATGATCTCTCTGTTTTCTGTATCTAACTGCTAACTAAACCTCAATAGCTCTTCAGCTGATGCCTGCTACTGTGGATATAGTTTGTCTTGGGATTTGACGCTTTCATCTAATGAAATGGACCCCTTTAATTTGGAAGACAGTTTTCCCATGCTCAAGAAGGAAGATAATCCAAAGGAAAAAATCTGATTTTTTTCTGTGTGTGTGACATCTTCTAAAGGAATACTTTGCAGGGCATATCCATCATTTGCACTGAATCCTGGTAAGGTACAAAGCTAACACATGCCTTAAATCTTCAGTGACTGAGACTGTGGCATGTACACGTGAATGACTTCGTTTCCAGGAATTCTTGCTGCATTCAGACACGTGTCTGAGTAGCAGTGCTGCAGGGTGAAATGGTCTTTCTGAGGAACTAGAGGATTTTCAAGCTCCAACAAGAAGAGTCAGCACTAAGGATCGCATAAATAATATGACTTTACAGTATCAAACTGAGGAGAAACAGAAGTGGGAAAACTAAGATTCAGAAACATGCATTACCTTGAGGTCTGAGAAGGGAGAGCTACAGTAGCTAAAAGGGTTGGTGGACAACAAGTATTGTGTGGAACATTTCATTATACATTCAGCTCTCATAGTATACCGGCTATTACTGTGTTGCCCTTGACCATCTGGGATTTCTTATCTACAAAGATCTGTCTGAAACTGTATAGATTAAGCAGGGCAATGACCTTTTTAGGATTCAAAATGTATATGTTTATATCCTGATGCTTCCCTTTCTATCATGAAATGAAGATAAAGTCTCACTGAACATAAACAGCCACTAACCAATGATTTGCAGTAACCTTTTGGCTCAAGGCCCGTATTTCCCTTTGGAGAACACATTTATTTTTCAAAATGCAGAAGAAGCAAATAAAAATTCATCTAGTCAGAGTGGGCTGCACCACCTATGCAAAAGAGACTTGATCCCCCAAAGGACTCTGAAAGAGATAAGTTTCCTTTTGTGATAATTTGATAGTTGTTATCTGACCTGAGCTTTTAGTGTACTGTGGACTTTTGTTTACAAAGTATCATACGTTCAGGGGAATGGGGATGAGATGTAACTATTTGGTTTTGTTCTGATTCACTGGAATGGTTTGAAGGAGTAAGAATCTCATGTTTCAAATTAATCCCTGTAGTAATTGCTTCAGTACTCTAGATTTCCTGCTTAGTGTGTCAGACTTAGAATCTGGCCTCAAAATTACTGGCTGCATGTTAATGGTATAGAGAACACAGAAAAACCAAGTTCTTAGAAGTCGTTCTTCCACGTGGATGTTATATGTAGGAGACAGGTGACATTAAACTTGTCCTTATTCTGCACGCAACACAAAATCTGCTTCAGAACCAAGGAGGTATGTTTCCTCTTCGGTTACTATTTAGCATAGTAAAGGTTGCTAGGGCAGAATGTTAAAGTAGCTGTGATTAATGTGTTGCTGTGTTTTATGTATGCATTTTGTGCCAGGAGACTTACAAACCTGTTTTTGACATGGTTTTGGCTTAATTTTCATATTGCTGGTGTGTCACTGATTAGTGTGTCACTTAGTGTTCTTTGTTTCAAAAACTTTTTGTCGCAATTTTTCAAATGCACCATAAAATATAACAGGGTAGTTAGTAACCATGGTTCATTCTTCACACCATGGCAAAAATAGTCTTTTAGGATCTTGAAAATTTATTAAGGGAATTGTTGAGAGCTTTTTGGATAGTTCATACCTTTCAGGCTGTACATGGGGGGAAAATAGCTTATTTTTTAGTGTGTGGTATGCTTTCAAAAATAAATTTATTTTCATTCTTCTTGATAAAGGTTATAAAATTCCATCTGTTGACCATGGTATAAAGTTGAAAGATAAAATGGGTCTTTCCTTTGCCATTTTAATTTGATTTTGTATATACGTATGTGCAAACTTAAAAATACATTGTGATGAGTCACAGTTACCCACAGTGATAATTACTGGAAATTTCTGAGTTAATAAAGCTACATATCTTTTAATTAGTTTGCTCACTGTATCCAAGGACAAAATTTTTCCTTGTGTGAGCTTTTTTGATTCTTCCTTTAGTGGGAATCATCTCCTTTATTGTCCTGTCTTCAGTCTTTCAGATGCCAGTGGAGCTGTGCTGAGGTTCTCTCTCTGTATCTTCAGTAGATGCTTTTGAGGCAGTACTTGTTCAGTCATTTAGCTATTCTCAGACTGAGGAAAAATTGATGAATTCTGGGTAAAAAGGGAAGGTCTGGACTTCTAGAATGGAGTGCCAGCTCTTTGCAAAATGCTGTTCTTCATAACTCTGTGATTTGGATAGAATTTAGTTGTCCTTTAATGATGTTACTTGGTGGTTGCATGATGTGCGTACATAGACCTGTTTGGCTGTAGAGAGGAGATTTAGCTAATACCTGTAGTTGTTTCCAGGGAGCTCATTTTTATTTTCTTTCTGCTTCCAGGTGTCAGTCAGTCTCTCCACCACCTCTTTTGTCCCCACCAAGAAGCCCAGCCTACCCCCTCAGTGATAGTGAGGACTCCTGCCAATCCAACAGACCCACCACGGTCTCCAGTTCCAGGCCACACCTCAAGGACTGGAGCAGCCAGGGATCTACACTGAAAGGCACCTCTACAACCCCTTTGGATGCCAGCCCTCCAAGTCACCCTCTCAAGGCTGTCACCATTGGCTCATTGGATAAAAGGCTGTCTGTGTTCAAGGCTGAGGACCAGAAAGAGACCCCCAAGGAGGCTCAGGATGGGGATGTAATAGGGAGCCGTCAGCTCACCCGAAGCACTCTCTCCTTGGGCACTGCTACCAGCTTGCGGAATCTCTCTCTCAGCAGGACTAGTGTCCGCTCGCAGGCCTTGGACATCAGGCAGAAGATCACAGAATGGGAATGTCGCAAAGAGCCTTCTCCCAGAATGAGCACGTGTATGGACAAGAGAGATGTCGGAGAAAGGTCTGGTAGTGAGAGCTGCCCTAGTATGTTGCCTTCTCCTTGTAGCGAGAAGACTTTTGACTTTAAAGGGTTCAGAAGAATGAGCAGAACATTTTCTGAGTGTTCCTACCCTGAAACCGAGGAGGAAGATCTCCCAGAGAGAGATTCCTTCCATAGGTTTGAAAAGAGGCCAAGCAGGAGTGAGCCTTCTTCCAATGCTTTCCTCAAAGGACCTGCCAGGAAAGAGACTTCTGCTGTACTAAACAGAATACAGAAGATTGAACAGGCATTAAAAGAACAGCCTGGCAGGGGTCTCCCTCAGTTGCCAAGTAGCTGCTATACTGTTGAGAAAGGGAGGAAAAAGTCTGTGACTCTGGGAACGGTTGAGGGTTTGAGTGAGAATCTGAGTGATAGCAAAGGAGGGAATGTAAGTTTTGGGAGTGATCCAGAAACACCTACTGAAACTGAAAAAAGTAGCAAACTGAAACAAGGGGCTATTGCAAATTCAGTTAGCCCTAAGCTGCTGCTTGAGAGCCCAGCTAGCACAGCAGTGAACCCTGTCCCCAAACCCAAACGCACCTTTGAATATGAAGCTGACAAGAACCACAAGAATAAACCAAGCAATGGTCTACCTCCTTCTCCAATACCCGCTGCTCCTCCCCCACTCCCCACCACCCCTGCGCCCCCCATGATTAGACGACAGAAGAAAGACTCGCGCTTTCACAGAAAATCCCAAAATAGGTAAAATCAAGGGGAATGCATTGAATGTGATCTTTAAATGAATGAAGGGAGTCTCATTTGTGCATCACAGCATTTTTTCCTTCTAAGGCAATATCTTTGATCTGAAAAATGCAGAAAAATCTTATGAAGTTTGTGACTTATCACTAGAGTGCTCCGATTGGATGCCTACCTATTACAACACTTTTTTTTGTCACAGATTTGGATGCAGTTGGAATTCTTCTGTTAGGAAACTGGATTTCCTGGAGAAGTCTTTAGGGTGATGCAGCTCTGTGCCTATGGAAGGTCATCTGTGTCATTTGGTGCAAGTGCCTCACTTGAAATCTTTAATGAAGTATAATGTTATTATCCTCCCAAGTCTTGTATTAGCAACCATTATCATTGTATTAATGTCAGTATTTGAATGAATGTGTTAATCTCAAAATACATAAGTAGGGGGTGTAATTTGCTTCTAAGGGTCACAAACACACAGTGTGTACAAACATTCACTCTCCTAGGAGAAGCTCTCCTGGGAGAGAGCAGTGATCCTTCTAGGAAAAATTGAATGTCTGTACAAGGCTACAGTGAACATGCCAGTTAAGTGGGATATTGTCACTAGTTTATATTTATTTGGAATTGTTGTCCAAAGTAGTGGTAATTGGTAATAGTGTTTAATTCTTAGAAAAAAACGATTTGTTGCAGAATGTGTTCCATATGTGTCTGTGAAACCAGTGATGAATATGGTCTTTTTAAAGTTTTTATCCAGAATTTTGCCTAGTTCGAACCTTTTTAGTTGTGTGACTTGCATTGACTTCAATGGGAATTGTAAGACTAAAACTGTACTTGGAAAATGTAGGGATAATTGTTCATAAACATTCAAAGTACTATTTTTGGACATATTTGGAGGTCTGTGGGTATGGAACACATGTACACACTCTTAGTGAGTTTTACAAGTGACCGCTATGCAGTTTTTTTTAATGAACTCTATAAATCCAGTATCTGGGACTAGATATTGACTTGACTTGTAAGTGCATGTCAGTATAACCTGACCTAAAATATAATGGTGCAGGAGGAAGGGAGGACTGGGCTGATTTGAGAGGTCCTGTAGCTGTAGTTCCAAGAACAACCTGTTTCTGAGCTGGATCAAATGATGGTTACATAGTGAATATGTTTCTCAAAGAAAGAGTGAGAGGAAGTATACAAACCCAAACTGTGCTTGGTTGTATGTATCTTTGAACCCTGACTGTAATCTTGGGGAACAATATGTTCATAACTTAGGGTTGTCCCTCTAGCTGAATTCGAAAGAAAGTTGTACCCAGTTTGTACAGTTCAGCACTGGGAATGCACAGAGTCCAAGGAATAAATCACTTTGTTCAGATGTAAATAACAGCTTGCATTTAAAAACTAAAAATAATCATAAATAATCAGGGCGTCCATGTATAACTTAGAGAATGGCCACAACTACCAAATGACTCCCACACATCAGGTTAGCTCACTTAAGCCTAAGGAAGTAGTGAATCAAATCTCTAGTCTCTGTTCAAGTGATCAGAGTCAAATACTGAAGATGCACCTGAAGACGGGGTAAAATCCATTATACTAGCTGGACCTTGACAGCTCTGTTACTCTATTTCTTATCTTTTAATAGAATTAAGAATACCTGTATTTGTAAATCCTTTAAACATAAAGTCATCCCTGAGTTGTCCTCATAACTGAAAACAAATATAATTTTTGTTCTAGCAGTATGTGTCAGGGCAAACATCTGTGTTGCTTTACACTTACTTGAATGCCATGGGAACTTTAGTGCTGTATTTACTCTTTTAACATTTTGTTTAAAAGTTATTTCTCATTCTGATTTTTAAGAACTCTTATGAATCCTTTCTCGAGACCAGTTTACAATCTTCCACGCATGTCTGCCAGGGGATGGATTCATACAGTATCCTTAGGATGTGGGCCCTCTAGCAGAGAGCAATACCTCCCAGCATCTGAATTAATGGAACATCATGTTCTCATGCCTCAGATTTGGAACCCTTTCATAGGAAGAAGAGAAAAGCAGCTCCTGAACCAGAGCAGGAGAGAGGTGTGATGCTATTTGGATGGTCCCTGTGGGAAGAAGGTGGGGTGATTATCTTACCTGGGCCACAATGTTGCAAGATAATGACACCATGTTGCAAGATGGAGTGGAAATCAATAGGAGTTAAGTGTGTAAGCCAGTGGTTTTCAATCTTTTTTTCATTTGTGGATCCCTAAAAATTTTTGAATGGAGGTGTGGACCACTTTGAAAATTTTGAGTGGAGGTGTGGACCCCTTTGAATTGTAACTGGATATTTACATACTTTTGATTGATCATAGTCATTTTTCTTGGACCCCTAAGATATAGTCTGTGGACCTCCAGAGGTTCACAGACCACAGGTTGAAAACCACTGTTCTAAGCTGATCAGTTGCTTTTGGAAATCTCACTGCATCTTTAAGTTCTCAGACAGTTGTAAAAACTAATGCTAAGCCTCTAGATTACAGCACTGATGACTGAGTTAAAGAGTTCAGATCTGAAACTCATGATGGATTCCTGTCATCATGGTACTGCCCTGGTGTCATGGATTTGAATGTTCTTAGACTTTGGGAAGGATAGATACAGATTTCAGTCCTTGAACACTTGCAATATACTAGCAGCTCCCAAGGATAAGCCCAGATGGATGGACTGTATGTAACTTTGTGCCAGGGTGGGAAGTGCTCTACAGTGAGCTTGTGTCTACATTGTAATGACAGCCACTCATAGAGACCTACCTCAGCTAGCTGCTAGCATGATGCTGTTAGTAATGTAGCCATGGCAGCATGTTACTCAGTGTAGGCTGCACAACCCTCACAAGAAGACAGGTAAAAACATGGACTATTAGCTCATGATGACCTCCTTGCTGTTCTGGCTGTCCCTGAGATAATTAGTGTGGTTAGTTTAGGTGCCTTGAGCTGCAGTCACTGCCATGTAGATAAATCCTCAGAGAATAAGACCTGTGCATCTAGACTGCCTTCCTGAACAAGTCAGAGAGGAGAAGGGAGTGGACCCAGCCTAGATGCTGCCCCACCAGCACCCTGGCCAGTAGCGCTAACCTGGGGAGAATGGGAGAGTTTCTAGAAAGGCTGCCAGAAGTCACCTCTCCCTAGAGCAGCAGGGGAGCAGAAAGGCTCTGCTGTGGCTCTTGAGAACGGTTCCTTGGGTACGTAGTGGCTGGGGTGCAACTTTGTTATACCTTCCTACTTTACCTGGGTGACTGGTGCCTCCTAATACTGGGGAGGGGGGGCGGGGGGGGCACCAGCGGCTGATTGGCAACTGG